GCTTTTGTGAAAATGTGCTCATCCTCACTGGTCCTACCTTTGAAAATAATCTTTAACAAATCGTTAAGCGCAGGAATATTCCCATCTGCTTGGAAAATGTCAGACGTAGTGCCCATACATAAAAATGGGAATAAGAACCTGATAAACAACTATAGAGGTATTAGCTTACTGCCTGCTCTACCTAAAATATTTGATAAAATTGTAACAGCAAAGGTACTCCCGTTCATCAAAAATGTAATTATTGAAGAGCAACATGGTTTTATAGTAGGTAAATCTACAAACACCAATTTGACTGAGTTCTCCCATTATTTGTTTAATAATATCGAAAGTGGACATATCGTTGACTGTATCCATACGGATATTAAAAAAGCTTTTGATTGTGTAAATATTGATAAACTTATTGCTAAACTTAATTCTTTAGGATTTGGCAGTCCTTTCTTAGACTGGATAAACTCATATCTTACGAGTCGACTTCAAAGGGTCAAAATCGCAGATTGCCGATCGCGGCCGATTAAAGTCACATCAGGTGTTCCACAGGGGTCCCATATGGGACCATTACTATTTCTCTTATTTATAAATGACGTTAGCTCTGCTTTTTCGGGATGCAGATTTTTACTCTTCACTGACGATTTAAAACTTTTTTATAGAATTCACGACCCCGAAGATTCTGTATTACTACAGAGCAATTTGACTAACTTTGTAAATTGGTGTAATTCCAACGACTTACAACTTAATGTATCTAAATGCAAGGTAATCAGATTTTCTATGAAACGTGTAAAAACCGTCCCTTCATATTACATTAACTCTGATGAGCTTAGTGTTGTAGAGTCAATTAATGACTTAGGGGTTACCTTTGCTGCAAACCTTGATTTCAAGATACATATAAATAATATTATAAATAAAGGAAATAAAACATTAGGTTTTGTCCTGAGACAGTGCAGTGATTTTAACAATCTCAGGACATTTGTCACACTATATTGCTCACTTGTAAGATCTATATTGGAATATTGCACTGTGATATGGTGTCCGTATCGTGAAACAAATGCCCTGAGATTGGAAAAAATCCAAAAACGTTTTATTAGATTTCTATGTTTTAAATTAAATATCCATTATAAAGCCAGTAACTATACAGATCTTCTTCTATATCTAGGTTTACCTTCTTTACATACACGACGAAATTATTTTGATATCTGTTTTCTATTTAAAATACTAAATAATCTTTGCAATTGTCCGAATATTTTGTCCATGATTCATCTGCATGTGCCATCCCGTGATGTTCGTGATCCTATTCTTTTTAGCGTTCCGCACCATCGTACTGACTATGGTAAAAATACTGTGTTACCTCGACTTTGTAACCTAGCCAATAAGCACCGACACGACATTGAATTTTTTAATGTGTCTTGTAAACGTTTTAAATGTAATGTAAAAACTGTCCTCAACATGTAAATACAATTTTGTAATATTGGTTTAGCCGTAAATAAAGTATTATTATTATTATTATTAAACCGTAAATTTGAAAAATTGAAAAATCGTTAACATAAAAAATTTAAAATCGAGATTTTGAAAAATCAATAAATTAAATAATTGAAAAAACAAAAAAAAAAGATTAAAAACGAAGGCTTATAAAATTGAACATTGATTCGTTTAAAATCGGGTAACTGAGAAATCGAAAAAAGGTAAAAATATAAACAGAAAGTGAAAAAATTTCAAAATTGGAAAATTAAAAAATTGGACAACTGTGAAATCGAAAAATTATTAAACTCAAAATTTCGAAAATTGAAAAATCAGATACATAATTCCAAAATAGTGAAATTACAAATTTTAAAAATCGAAAAATCGCGAAATTTTGAAAAATTAAAAATCAAAAATTGGAAAATCGAATGAATGAAATTGAAAAATAAAAAATTAAGTAGTTGAAAAAACGAAAAAAAGTTTAAAAACGAAACATTGTAACGTTGAAAACTGATTCCTTAAAAACCGGGTAATTGAAAAATCGAAAAAATGTAAAAATATAAAAGAAAAGTCAAAAAATTGCAAAATTAGAAAATTGAAAAATTGGACAATTGTAAAATCGAAAAATTATGAACACCATTGTAAAATAGAGAAATTACAAAATTTAAAGATCGAAAAATTGCAAAATTACGAAATTGAAAACTGAAAAATTTGAAAAATTGAAATTCAAATTTTGAAAAACTAAAAATCGAATATGGAAAATCGAAACAATGAAATATAAAAATTAAAAATTAAGTAAAAAAATAAGTCATTGAAAAAACGAAAAAATTTTAATAACAAAGAATTATAAAATTCAGGATTCAACACCGGATAAATGAGAAATCGAAAAAATGTAAAATTATAAAAAAGAAGAGTCAAAAAATCGCAAAATTAGAAAACTGTAGATTTGAAAAATTGAAAAAATGCGAAATTACGAAATTGAAAACTCAAAAATTTGAAAAATTGAAATTTAAAATTTTGAAAAATTAAAAATCGAAAACTTGGAAAATCGAAACAATGTAATTAAAAAAACGAAAAATTATAAAATTGAAAATTGAGACATTCAAAAATTGTAACAATGTAAAATTGAAAAATAAAAATGGTGTAAAATCGAAAATTAGGTAAACGAAAAATTGCAAAATAAACTGAAAAAGTAAAATTGAAATTTTGAACAATTAAAAATCAAAAAATTGAAAAATTGTAAAATTACAAAATTGAGAAAAATCGAGAAATTGGTAATTTGCAAAGTTACAAAACTAAAAAATAGTGTTAATTTTAACATTGAAAAATTCGAAAAAACGGACAATTGTAAATTACAGAATTTAATTTATACATTAAATAACAAAATTTTTTTTTTAATAATTTAGCTTCTCTGGGACACTAAGGTATAATTTTTTTAATTGCGCCTGAACGCGCTCGCTGCGCTCGCTTTTTAAACTTGTTTTTTTTTCAGCTTTTTTACCAAATTGTAAAATTGAATACTATAAACTTGAAACATTGAAAATCGAAATTTTCAAAAATTAACAAATCAAAAATTGGAAAATCGAATCAATGAAACTGAAGACACAAAAATTGAATATTGAAAAAACGAAAAATTATATAATTGAAAATCCAATAAACTGTGAATTTGAAAAATTGAGAATTATAAACACTTGTAAAATAGCGAAATTACAAAATTTAAAAATCTAAATTTTGAAAAATCAAAAATTAAGTAACTGAAAAAACGAAAAAAAAGTTTTAAAACGAAGAATTATAAAGTTAAAAATTGATTCCTTAAAAACCTGGTAATTGAAAAATCGAAAAAATTAAAAAATATAAAGGAAAGGTAAGGCAAAACATTGCAAAATTAGAAAATTGAAAAATCGTAAACTTGAAAAATTGAAAATCGAAATTTTGAAAAATCAAAAATTAAATAATTGAAAAAACGAAAAAAAAAGATTAAAAACGAAGGCTTATAAAATTGAACTGAGAAATCGAAAAAGGTAAAAATATAAACAGAAAGTGAAAAAATTTCAAAATTGGAAAATTAAAAAATTGGCCAACTGTGAAATCGAAAAATTCTTAAACTCAAAATTTCGAAAATTGAAAAATCAGATACATAATTGCAAAATAGTGAAATTACAAAATTTAAAAATCGAAAAATCTCGAAATTTTGAAAAATTAAAAATCAACAAAACAAACATTGTATCGTTGAAAACTGATTCCTTAAAAACCGGGTAATTGCAAAATCGAAAAAATGTAAAAAGATAAAAGAAAGAATAAGTCAAAAAATTGCAAAATTAGAAAATTGAAAAATTGGACAATTGTAAAATCGATAAATCATGAACATTTTTAGAATTCACCAGTTTTAGACTTGGTTTTGATTTGGCTTCTCAGGGACACTGACGACTAAATTTTAATAAAACCAGACGTGCTCCGTGCGCTTCCATTATTAGTATTCTTTTGTAAAATAATGCTGTCTGATAAAAACGTGTCAAGCTCAAAATTCCTGGGTCACTAGATTACGAATAAACCTAGCAAATACGTGTGTCTTGTTTTTTATTAGACAGATAATTCCGGAACTACCGGCCCGATTGTTGTCAAATTTTATATGTATGTTAGGAATATCGTATAGATGGCAAAACTGTAACCACGCTTGTCTGATGATCCCCAACGACAATGTGATGACGTCACCTCAGAATTTTCCGTGGTAAATGTGTTTTAAATTTTATAAAATGACATGCTCCTACACTTGAAACTGCTTTTTTGTATAGCGCCAAAATTTACAAACAAATATCGAAGTCGGTTTGAGAGTACAAACGAAAAGTGATTTAAAAAATTGTGTTTATAATTTTCGAATTAACATGGGTTAAATTTGATTCGTATTGTTTGTCTGCCTTTATTATTTAATCTGATAATAATCTTTTTGTTATGTCTTCCGCCCTCGTTTTAGGCGTCTGAACCAAAATTCCGGCTTCTGCATATACATGATAGTTTTATTGTAGTGATACAATTCAAAGAAATTTTTGTTTGAAGAACTGCCTTTTTCCACCCACAGCGCTTTGCTTCGTCACTCCATTCTTAAAATGTTGATTAAAGTTTTTGCCAACATTCCAAAATTATTGACAATGCAGTTTTCACAAAAACAATTTGTGACTATGTCCATGATTTGAAAATAAATTACTTTCTCTGTAAAATATGTAGTACCGTAAGAACTAGTATAAGTAGAACTAAATGGCACGGATAAAGTCATCCATCACGAGATAACTGCCACGCTTGGGTACTCCGCTCGATCAGTACTATCTTAATCAGAATAATTGTTTGCAGTAAATAGGATTAAACTTGTGTAATCCATCTTTTCCTTATCGTCACCAATTATCCCACAATTATCGCTACATTGTTCCGCTAATTTTTTTGGTACCATGGCTTGGCATTGACCTGGCGAGTACCATCGTCCTCAACATTTTCCGCTCGATTAATAATAGAAAAGACACTTAAAGAACGCTTCAGTATCACAATCGTTGTTCCAGGACGACCTCCGGTAGTACCCGCCCTCGAATAATCTGGAGACACGGCCTACCCTCGGGCTGCCATGTGCAAGAGGCGCTGCGGCCCATCAATCTCCGAAAACATTCCATCACAACGGCACCACCACCCACCCGAAGACCGTCGCGAACTCGCTGATCCTCGCCCGCAAGTACCAGCTCCGCCAGCTCTCCCACGACGAAAGGACCACCCCCGAGGGCTACATCCACGAGCACTACAGCCCCAAGAGCGCTCGCAAGCTCCCCAAGTCGCGGTCAGTTGATGAGGAGGCCCCCAGACGCTGCCCGGATGGTACCGACCTCGAGAGCCTGAGCCCGCGCTCGCCAGTACCGCCAGTACCTCGGGCGCCGCCGCGGACGAAGCTCAAGTTCTCGCCGCCGCCGGAGAGCGCCGCCGATCGCGCGGATAAAGGCAGCGAAGGCGCGACTCGCGTTAGTACTGACAGTACCGAGACCGTGGAGTGCGTGCGGGCGCGCGGAAACATGTTTCGCGGCGGGATGAAGCTGAAGGAACGGTTTATTCTGGGGGCGAGTGTGGCGGCGGTGCTGTTCACGTTCCTGTTGGTGGTGGACATTCAGATGGATCTGGGCATGTCGGGACACCACCGGCTGGTGCCGTCGCACGGGAGGGTGAAGTACGTCCAGGAGGACGCGGCGGGGTCGGCGTACAATAGCTTCAGGAAGAGGTTCCTGCAGAAGACGCACAGGTGAGGCTGGGGTTTGTTTTGGGGCGACACGGGAATTTGGAGCGGGATTATCGAGGTTGTGGTCTGTTATCGGAAAGTACCGCGTGTTTGCGCGATAAGTGATGATTGAGTAGAAGGCAAACAATCGATTTCGTCGGCTCGGATTAGGTGGTTCATGCTGTTTTTGTTTGGTTTATGGTTTGAGATGTGTGTATACACCAAGGGATTGAAGTACCTGGATTTTTTAATGAGACACCCTATATATTTTACATATTTAGGATTGGTCTCTTCTTTAAAGATTTACAACCACAATTTACTTTAGAAATTTCGATGCGGCGTTGCCACGTTATTCCAAGTTTCTATAAATTTTTGACATTGGAAGGATTCACAAAAAAATCACAATACGCTTATTGCAACATTGAAAAATGTGATAAGTAAAATCGAAACATTATTAAATTGTAAAGGTGAAAAATTGCAAAAGTGTAAAATTGAAAATCTAATACCTTTAAAATCAAAAAATGAGAATTTACAAAATTTAAAAATAGAAATATTTAAAAATTTTGAAACTAAAAAACTTAAAAAATTTAAAATCGAAATTTTGAAGAATAAAAAATCAAATAATTTAGAAAATTCAAACAATTCAATTCAAAAAATTTTTAAACGAAAAATTATAAAATTGAAAATTGATTCCTTAAAAACCGGAAAAAATAACACCGAAAAGTCAAAAAATTGCAAAATTAGAAAATTGAAAAATTGGACAATTGTAAAATCGAAAAATTACTAAACTTTACAGTTTACATTCCCAATTTACATTTGCAAAATTGAAAAATCATAAACACTATTGTAAAATAGAAAAATTACAAAATTAAAAAATGGAAAATTTTCCAAATTATGAAATTGAATACTAAAAATTTGAAAAATTGAAAATCGAAATTTTCAAAAATTAACAATCAAAAATTGGAAAATCGAATCAATGAAATTGAATAATCACAAATTGAATAATTGAAAAAACGAAAAATTATAAAATTGAAAATTGAGAACCTGATTAATTTTTAAAAATCCAATCGAATTATTAAACTGTAAATTTAAAAAATTGAAAAATTATACACAGTTGTAAAATAGAAAAATTACAATATTTAAAAATGGAAAAATGGCGAAATTTCAAAATTGAAAGCTCAAAAACTTGAAAAATTGTACATCGAAATTTTGAAAGATAAAAAATCATAATTTGGAAAATCCAAACAATGAACCTGAAAAATAAAAAAATTGAGTAATTGAAAAAAGGGAAAAAATTTAAAAACGAAGCATTATAAAATTCAAAATTGATTCCTTAAAGACCAGGTAATGGTCAAAAATGTAACACAGAAAAGTCAAAAGGTTGCAAAATTGTAAAATAGTGAAATTACAAAATTTAAAAATGGAAAAATTTCCAAGTTTTAAACTCAAAAACTTGAAAAATTGAAAATCGAAATTTTTAAAAATTAAAAATTAAATAATTGAAAAAACGAAAAAAAAAACTTTAAAAACGAAGAACTAAAGTTGAAAATTGATTTCTTAAAAACCAGGTAATTGAAAAATCGAAAAAATGTAAAAATATAAAAGAAAAAAGACAAAATATTGCAAAATTATAAAATTGAAAAATTGGACAATTGTAAAATCGAAAAATTGTTAAACTGTAAATTTGAAAAATTGATAAATCATAAACTTGAAAAATTGATAAATCATAAACTTGAAAAATTGATAATCGAAATTTTGAAAAATTAAAAATCAAAAATTGTAAAATCGAATCAATGAAATTGAAAAATCAAAAATTACGTACATTATTAAAACGAAGAATTATAAAATTGAAAATTGATTCCTTAAAAACTAGGTAATTGAAAAATCAAAAATGTAAAACGATAAAAGAAAAAAGTAAAAAAATTGCAAAATTGAAAATGAGAAATAAAAAATCATACAATTTGGATAATCCAAAGAATGAACCAAAAAAAAAAAAAATTGAATAATTGAAAAAACGAAAAATTATAAAATTCAAAATTGATTCCGTAAAATGAGAACTTGAAAAAAGGTAAAATATAACGTAGAAAAGTCAAAAAGTTGCAAAATTAGAAAACTGAAAAATTGGACAATTATAAAATCGAAAAATTATTAAACTTTAAATTTTCCAATTTTGAAAAATCAGGTAATGATTGTAAAATATAGAAATTACAAAATTTAATAATTGAAAAATTGCGAAATTATGAAATTGCAAACTCAAAAGCTTGAAAAATTGAAAATCGAAATTTTGAAAAATTAAAATCAGAAATTGGAAAATCGAATGAATGAAATTGAAAAATCAAAAATTAAGTAATTGAAAACTCAAAAGCTTGAAAAATTGAAAATCGAAATTTTGAAAAATTAAAATCAGAAATTGGAAAATCGAATGAATGAAATTGAAAAATCAAAAATTAAGTAATTGAAAAATCGAAAAAAAGTTTAAAAACGAAACATCGTGAAGTTGAAAACTGACTCCTTAAAAACCGGGTAATTGAAAAATCGAAAAAATGTAGAAATATGAAAGAAAGAAGAAGGTCAAAAAATTGCAAAATAAGAAAATTGAAAAATTGGACAATCGTAAAATCGAAAAATCATAAACACTATTGTAAAAACTTGAAAAATTGAAAATCGAAATTTTGAAATTTAAAAAATCAAAAATTGGAAAATCGAATCAATGAAATTGAAAAATCAAAAATTAAGCAATTGAAAAAATAAAAAAAAAGTTTAAAAACGAAGAATTATAAAATAGAAAATTGATTCCTTAAAAACCAACCAATTGAAAAAAAATGTAAAAATATAAAAGAAAAAAGGAAAAAAAATTGCAAAATTAGAAAATCGAAAAATTGAACAATTGTAAAATAGAAAAATTATTATACTGTAAATTTGAAAAATTGAAAAGTCAATGAAACTTGAAAAATTGAAAATCGAAATTTTTAAAAATAAAAAATCAAACAATTTGGAAAATCCAAAGAATGACCAGAAAAATAAAAAAATGAGTAATTGAAAAAACGACAAAAATTTAAAAACGAAGAATTATAAAATTCAAAATTGATTCCTTAAAAACCAGGTAAATGAGAACCCGAAAAAAGATAAAATATAACCTAGAAAAGTCAAAAAGTTGCAAAATTAGAAAACTGAAAAATGGGAGAATTATAAAATCTAAGAATTATTAAACTTTAAATTTTCCAAAATTGAAAAATCAGGTAATGCTTGTAAAATATAGAAATTACAAAATATAACAATTGAAAAATTGCGAAATTATGAAATGGAAAACTCAAAAGCTTGAAAACTTGAAAATCGAAATTTTTAAAAATAAAAAATCAGAAATTGGAAAATCGGTTGAATGAAATTGAAAAATCAAAAATTAAGTAATTGGAAAACCGAAAAAAAGTTTAAAAACGAAACATTATAAAGTTGAAAACCAATACCTTAAAAATGGGTAATTGAAAAATCGAAAAAATGTAAAAATATAAAAGAAAGAAGTCAAAAAATTGCAAAGTTACAAACTTGAAAAATTGGACAATTGTAAAATCGAAAAATCATGAACACTATTGTAAAATAGAGAAATTACAAAATTTAAAAATCGAAAAATTGCGAAATTACGAAATTGAAAACTGACAAATTTGAAAAAATGAAATTCAAAATTTTGAAAACCAAAAAATCAAAAATGGAAAATCGAAACAATGAAATATAAAAAACAAAAATTAAGTAATAAAAAAAACGAAAAAATTTTAATAACAAAGAAATATAAAATTCAGGATTGATAACCGGGTAAATGAGAAATCGAAGAAAATTATAAAATGAAGAGTCAAAAAATCTCAAAATTAGAAAACTGTAAATCTGAAAAATCGAAAAAATGCGAAATTACGAAATTGAAAACTCAAAAATTTGAAAAATTGAAATTCAAAATTTTGAAAAATTAAAAATCAAAAACTTGGAAAATCGAAACAATGTAACTGAAAAAACGAAAAATTATAAAATTGAAAATTGAGACATTCAAAAATTGTAACAATGTAAAATTGAAAAATAAAAAAGGTGTAAAATCGAAAATCAGATAAACGAAAATTGCAAAATAAACTGAAAAAGAAAAATCGAGAAATTGGTAACTGTGATTATTGAATAGTCAAAAATTGAGAAACTGATTCATTAAAAAATGGATAACTGAGAAATCGAAAATGTGAAAATATGAAACTGAAAATTTGCGAAGTTACAAAACTAAAAAATGGTGTTAATTTTAACATTGAAAAATTCGAAAAAACAAACAATTGTAAATTACAGAATTTAATTGACGAAATTGCGAAATTATGAAATTAAAAAATCAAAAACTTGTAAAGTCAAAATTTTGAAAAATTAAAAATCAAAAAATTCGAAAATCGAAACAGTGAAATTGAAAAATCAAAAATTGAATAATTGAAAAAACAACAGACTTTAAAAACGAAAAATTATAAAATAGAAAATTGAGAAACTGATTAATTAATTAAAATCACAATTGAAACATCCAAAAATTGTAAAAATGTAAAATTGCAAAATAAAGAAGTATCAAATCGAAAAATTGGATACAAAACTAAAAAATCGTGTAATTTTAACATTGAAAAATTTCAAAATAGAAAAATTACAAAATTTAAAAATCGAAATTATGAAATTAAATAATCAAAAATTGAATCATTGAAAAAACAAAGAATTCTAAAAACGAATAATTATAAAATTGAAAATTGAGAAACTGATTAAATAGAAAACGATTAATCGAGACATCCGAAAATTATTAAATTGTAAAACTGAAAAATCAAGAGTGTAAAATCGAGAAATACAAAAATTGAAAAATCGGATACCTACCTTTAATAATGAAAAATTATAAAATAAACTGAAAAAGTGAAATTGAACTTTTGAACAACTAAAAATCAAGGAAATTGTAAATTCGAAAATTTATAAAACTGTAAACGAGAAAAATTGCAAAAGTATTAAATTGAAAGTCAAACAATTGAAAAATC